TTGTACTCTCGTGATACTGATGTAATATGTAAAGCCGGTGCTAAAATTAACATTGGCCTACTGCTTGTACTAATAAAATGCCAAGGGCCTAAGTGGTCACCTTAATATTAAAAAAAATAATAATAATAATAAAAATCAACCTTTTCGAAACTTTACCTAAAAATAAGCTATCTCCATGATTTTTGTGCCACTTTTTTGGCCAAAAAAGGTAGCTTATTTTTGGAAACCTATGGTAACTTGCTTGGTTTATTAGTTTTAAACTTGCAAAGCAAAGAATATTCAACAAAATAAATATTCAAGGCTAAATCATAGTATCTTATTAAGCAAGAATATAAATATAACAAGAGATTAGATATTTATAGCTTTGAAATAATTCTTTGAGAAATTTCAAGTAGAAGAGTTTCAGTTTTACTTTTTTTTAATTTAATAAACCTTATTCATTATTTGGAAGTTTGTAGATAAACTTATTATATAATGAATGAGTATACAGATTTATTTGCATTTTTAAATTAATTATTAAAAATTGACCTAAATGATTTATTTATTTTATAAGGCCATGATGTCTTAATACTGTATTAAGCAGGTATGAAGAATCACTTGCAGATTTAAATATAACCACATTATGCATAGAATTATGAGTTTGTGGAAAAACCTATCTTGTAATAAATAGATATGAAAAGCTATTTACATATTTAAATAAATTACAGTTTAATCTCTCTATAATTACACTCCTTGAGATAAAGATTTGTGTAATTGTAAAGAGAATTTTACTAAGATATATTTATAAAGAAGTTTTTTTTCTATATGTTTATAATAGTTGGTTTTAAAATAAATATGTTTATACAAAAAATTACACACAACTCTTTCTGACAATCACTTGGACCAAAATTTCCTATTAAAGAAAAATTAAATTTCTGTTAGAGAGGTGTGGCCTAATATAGCAGTTTGCCTAGAGGGCAACAGTTCTCTTCTACTGGGACTCCTTTATCAAATGTGCATTCAGCATACAAACCAAGAGTGTTCGTATACAAGATAACTAGCAGGAGGTGTGTGCCCTTGTATACAAAATCTTGGAGGTGTAGCAAAAGCCTTCACTGTCGATGAAGTTATTTAGGCTATTACTTCAAAAGAAGAACACAGAGGAAACAACAGGAGTCTTTTTTTCTTCAAGCTGCACTCTTTTATTTAACCAAGTAGTTTTTTTTCTACCTTTACTTGCCCTCCCGTTGGTCTTCCAAAATTTTCTAAAAAAGTGGAGATTTGGCTTACCTCCTCCTAAAGAACAGCATTGTTTACACTTACTGAATTCGGATGAACTCAGTGGATTGCAACTACATGTTTGTTTTGATGATTAATACAGTGCTACAGTACAGAAAAGAGATCAATGCCCCTGTTTAGAAGATACCTGAGTTGAGTCAGTGCCTGGAATAAGTTAAATCGATAAAGCCGAAGGTTTTACAATTGAAATATACTTTTAGTTGCAATTAGTATATAATTTTTATCTTTATGCCTGGCATGAGCTATAATAGTGTATCAAGGCTATCTTTTCTTTTTTCACTTTTTTCATCTTTGTTTATTTATGTTAGATTATTTTAGAATTTGTTTTCTTGTTTGTGTTTTTTTTTATTGCCGTGAGGCGTTTTTTTTTTAAAATGTTTAGATCTTTTGTAAACATAGCTTTATTTTATTACTTTTATATATGAATAAGAGTTTTAATTATTTTGTTGGACTTAGATAGAAGAAGTTTGAAAAAAGAGAAGGTAGTCTTGATGGGCCAGTAGGATCTATCCAGTGATATCATATTTTTTCGTTTCAGAAAGGGGTATTTTGGAGGTAAATCTTGCTTATAGCAGGTCACGTATAGGTGTCCAAAAGATAACCGGGTGAGCCAGTACTTGTAAAGTAGATATCATAAGGGTTAGCCTTTTGTAAAAGTTGTATAAATTTATATTGTATAATGTAAAAAGTTATAATAGCCTAATAAAGTATATAGCAAAATTGCCGAAATGGTAAAAAAAATAAATATATTTATAAAAAGAATTTTTATATAATGTGCTTATATAGAGAGTAACTATAGAGAAATTTGACTATATTAAAACTTGATCTAAATAATATATTTATATTAGAAGACTGTAGTGTTATAAGAAGTATATATGAAAAATTACTTGCAGATTTAAATAATTCATTAGAATTTGAACTACATTTTGTGTGGAATTTAAGTTCTTAGATAAACTTATTGCATGATAAACAGATATGAAGAGCTATTTATATATTTAAATAAATAATTAGAACTTGATCTAATGATGTATTTGTATTAGAAAGCCATGGTGTTATAGAAGTATATATAAAGAATCACTTGCAAATTTAAATAATTTATTAGAATTATGAGTTCTTGAAGAAACTTATCATATGATAAACAGATATAAAGAGCTATTTATATATTTAAATAAATTATTAAAACTTGATCTAAATGATGTATTTGTATTAGAATATTATGGTTTATAAGAAGCATACAGAATTACTTAATAATTTAAATAATTTATTAGAATTTGAACTAATTAATACATAGCTTTAGAATTTTATAGAGAAACCTATTGTATGATAATCAGATATGAAGAGCTATTTGCATATTTACTGATTTATTAGAATTGATCTAAATAATGCATTTTTATTAGAAGCTCTTGGTGTCCTAATAAGCAACTTTGTGAAGAAACTTAATATATAATGAGCAGATATATATTTAGCTTATATATTAGAAAATAATCCAAATGATGTATTTATATAGAGTCATAATAAGCATATATGAAAATTACTTGCAGATTTAAATAAATCTTTGAGAATTGAAACAAATAGTATATAGTATTAGAAGTTTATAAAGAAACTTATTGTATAATAATCAGATATGAAGAGCTATTTGTGTATTTAAATTAATTATTAGAAATTAATTCTATTAATATATTTGTATTAGAACCCCATGGTTTATAAAAAGTATATCTGAAAAATTATTTGAGAATTTAAATAAATCTTTGTAATTTGAACCAAATGATATAGAGATTTATGGAAAAACTTATCATATGATGATCAAGTATGAAGAGCTATTAATTTAATTATTAGAAATTGATACTATTAATATATTTGTATTAGAAAGCTGTAATATTATAAAAAACATATAGAGTCTTTGCTTTGAAAATCAAGTATGAGATATATGATTTACTATATTCTGTAACTCGATTTTTAAGGCAAAGATCCTATATATAAAGAATTACTTGAGGATTTAAATAAATTTTTGTAATTTGAACCAAATGATAAATAGCATTAGAAGTTTGTGAAGAAACTTATCATATTCAAATAATACATGTATATTAGAAGTTTGTAGAGAAACTTATTACATGGTAAGCTAGTATTAAGAGTTACTTGTAAATTTAACTAAATTATTATAAATTAATTCTAATGATGCTTTTTTATTAGGATGCTATTGTCATATTATATATACATGAAGAATTACTTGAAGCTTTAATATAAATATTTATTAAATTAAACTCAAAATATTAAAAAAAATTTGTATAATACAAAAAAAATTTAACAGAATCTTTTTCTATTGCTATTATTTATATTAAAATTATCACCTTCTAAATAGATATTTGATAAAATCTAATATAAAAAAAATAGATACAAAAAATAATATATTAGCACTAATCAAAATATATTTTTATAGAATTATTAGCATCCAAATAATGTGTATATTGTTGATAACTTAGTGAAGATATAAGAATTTGTTATTACTATAGTTTACTAAGGTAGTATTGGTATTATCTAATACAATTTTTGATAGAGTAGGTAAGCAAAAATGTTGAAAACAAAATAAGCAAGTAAATTTGAAAAAGAATCAAAGCAAAAAAAAATAAAAAATAAGTATTCAAGAGTTAATTTTGTAAAAACATTGTCTATGGCTTTGAGCTAGCCCAAGTGTTGGGTTGTAGACATTTTTTTTTAAAATATATCAATATCATTCATTATTACTGCTAACTTTTTTAATTCATTTAACAAAGTGTTAACATGTTGAAAATTTCTAGTATTAAACTCTTCCTGTAGATGTATCACAAACTTTAGCCTTTTGTTTATTTCTTGTTGCATTATCTTTGTAAAAAATGTTCAAATTTTTCTCTGACATGAAATCTAAAGTTTCATGTTGCATTATTTTAGTAGAAATATTCAAATTTTTCTCTTGTACCATTTCTGTAGAAATATTCAAATTTTTCTTTTGTACAAAATCTTATATTTTTTGTTTAATTACATTGCTCATTACATTTTCATATTGTGTCTTAATTTCTCTATTCAAGGTTTTTCAATTTTTTGGTAAAATGTTCTAACAAGTGTATTAATTTGTTGCTGATTTGTATAATCTAATAAATTAACTATCTATACTTAGTTTGCAATAATGAAAGGTTGATTATTACAATATTAGAAATTTACAGAAATCAACTATATCATATGTGGCTAAAATTTGTTTATATAGATTGCAAGTAAAATCAATTAAGAATCTTAAAAATTATTATTAATTTAAAATATATTATTACTAACTTACTAAATTATTTAAACTGTCTTTGCTATCTAAATTATGTGTTGATTTAGAACATTTACAACCCAAAATTGAGTCTTTTATTAAAATGAAAATTTCAATTAAAAGCTGCAAGAACAAAATTTTTGTTGGCAAAGAACTCTGATGAAATTACTGTATTTTACCGAAAATAAACACCCTTTTTTTGCACATAATGTTGGCCAAGGTGGTTATAATTCAGGCCAAATTTTGTATAATGCAGGCAGGGTGCTTATTTTCGGGGGTGCTTATTATCGGTAAATACGGTATTCAGCATCTGGAAAGTATGAATTTATATTTGTGTGTTACTAAGGGTTGGGGTTGTGTTCCATCAAAAAATATGCACTTAATGGATTTGCAAATTTGTAGACATAGTTTTGATTAATTATAATGTTTGACACACGTACATGGAAGGACCAATATTACCAACCCATATTTCATGTTGATCAATTGTAGATGTTAATTTAACATCACCGTACTCCAGCAAAAGCAAAAAATTTTAAAATTTTAATCACGATATCCAGACAACTAACTGACTAAAATTGGTTAAATTTTTTTTTATTTGAATTCTATGAATCCATAGAATTTAAATAAAAAAAAAAATTACCAATTTTTATCAGGTGGTTGTGGAGATATCTCCACTCAAAGCTAGAGAAAAATCAAAACATTTCAACACCTATCAAAAAGAAGCTGTGGCAAATTTTTTCAAAACTTTGAACGAAGATATTTCACAATCATCTGACCAAAATCAATGAAACTTTTTTTTATTTGAATTGTATATATTAATAGAACTTAAATAAAAAGATTTCATGGATTTTGGTCAGGTGGTTGTGGAGATATCTTCGCTCAAAGTTTTGAAAAAATTTGCCGCAGCTTCTATTTTGATAGGCGTTTTGATTTTTTTCTAACTTTGAGCGAAGATATCTCGACAATCATCTGGCAAAATTCGATGGAAACTTTTTTATTTGAATTCAAATAATCAATAGAATTCAACTAAAAAGCGTTTATCGAATTTGGTCAGATAATTGTCAAGATATTGTCGCTCAAAATTTTGAAAATTCCTATTTTTACTGGATCACGTCGATCATAATCAAAAAGTAGCAGGTGTATCCAATAAGATTTTAATATTGTTTGCAGCAAACGAAACAGCGGCAATGCCCTGTATTGATACCATATTTTAAGGAACGAATCACAATTAAATTATTTGATGAAGCTAACGCTAATACAGTAATACGTGTACAATAAATGGGATTTTATATTCAAAATATTAATGCGATTCAGAAAATGCCATATTTTAGAGTTCAGAGTGTTGTACTTTACTTTTTAAATATGTCTGTCTATAAAGTACATCCCAAGGGAGAAGCTCATATCGAGATTTAAGATTTATATTTGCTGTACTCAACCTATTAATGGATTTTTTACGAATTGAATCTGATGAGTTATAAATTTAACAGTCTAAAGTGTGATTTTACCCTGGCGACACCATATATTAATGATGATAAACTTTACATTGATTTATCTCATAATTACCTTTAATAAAATAATATAAAGTAAAAAAAAAAACACTAATAAGACTTAAATTGTTAATAAAAAACTTTATAGTGTAAGTAGGTAAAGGATTGTTATTTTTATTGAGTTTAATTATTTTTGGAGATATAGCAGCTATTCGTATATCTTTGATAAAGACTTTGCCGACGTATGTGGTATTATTCAATATATAAAAGACACCGTAACTTGATATATTCACTTGACTTAAAGAATATTAATAGAAATTGTTAATTAAGCGAGTAGTTATATTGACCTTGTGACTTGCCTATCGAGAAACTGATTTTAATCAAGATTGAAATTTATAATACAATGGAATAATTATATTCTAGATAAGATTGTAAAGTCATTCTTAATATTTAAAGATATCAGAGGAGATAACAATGTAAAGAATATTAACGTATTACATATTAAAATAGATAGACTATGCGTCTTCTAATCAATTAGCACGAAACTTTTTTACAAATCTGAAATATTTCATATTCTTTTACTGAAAAACGTAAAAATCAACTACTGTTAAATGTAGATGTTTCTAATTCAAGTGTCTAGAGTGTCTAAAATATTATAATATTTTTTCAATTTATTCATAATCCGTTAGATAATTCATGGAGTAAAGAATTTGGTCTTGATTTTGATCTAATATTACACTTAGAAGATTACTTTCAAATGACTGGTAAAATAGAATTTTATCTTCTCAAATGACAAAAATTCCGATTGGGAATGGTTTAGGAGTTTTTTTTTCTGTAATTCTTTCATACCATGTAAAGCTTTCAAAAACTTTTTTTGGCTTCTTTTACGGGAATTTCATTTAAAGAATATGACCGCTTGTTAGGCGAAGTTGAAAATGAAGTGAAAGAAAAAAACGCGGCGGCGAAGTATATATCAAATTTAGAAAAGTATTTGCAAGAAAGAAAGATATAGGCATTTTTAAGGATGATGCTTAAATTCTACATACGTGCCATTAAATAGGCATTGTATTTTCGTTATCGTTTTGGTTCTCCGATAAAGCATTGGTGCACATAGTTAATTTATGACTAATTATTGTCGTTTTTTGTTTATTATATCAATACTTCCAATATGTATATGTTATTGTCCACGAAGTGGGCAATAACTAAGAATCAATCCCAGATCAGATGATCGGATAATGACGGAATGGCAGTGAGCTATTCATTATCATCTGATCTGGGATTGATATTTGGTTATGCGGATAATAACTGATTTATTCCCAGATTATATTATACTTCTATACTAGTTCTTCAAAGTAAAATTGCGTATTTCATAAAGTCTAGCTTACTACAGGTCACAAAACCTCTTTCGGATTTTTATTTTTATTTTTATTTTTTTTAGCAGCAACTTTTACTCTTTTAATAAAAATTTCATATACTGTATCATTAAAAATAAAAAGTAAAAAAGATATATAATCAAAAAGAATTATAAAAATTCTGGATCAACCCGAATCCGAAATCTGGACAATAATCGAGAAGGAATAGTAAAGAAGTATAAATAAGAACCGGGGAATAAATATATATATATTGATGGGTAATTGATGCCCTTAATCGCTAATGCACGTAGCTCAAAAATTTTGTATACGAAATTCTGAAATTATCTTTTATGTTTTGATAAAACAATTCCTTGCAAAGTTTTGTCGATATACGTACTGTGATTTATTTTTTTAAAAAGAATTTTTCATATTATAATGGTCCGTAAGCTTAAGTATCATGAGCAAAAATTTCTCAAGAAAGTTGATTTTCTCCAGAAATATAATAGACCTTTACTTCCCTTTTTTTTTTATATATTTTTGCTATAAAATTAAGAATAAGCAATTTGCTTTTTTATTGTATAGTGAAATAACAAAATAATTATTCGAGAAATCAAAGTCATTCGTCGTTATTACTGCAAAAACGAGAAGATTATCACAAATACAATAAGCTATGTGGTTTAATAAAAAACTTTCAAATAGAATTTCTTTATTGGATCCCTTTTTTGTGTAAACAAGAAACTGCACTATTGAAGAAGCTGTATTCTATGGGCTTGATTATTGCTAAGAAACAGTTTAGTCAACTTGACAAAATTACTGTTTCTGCTTTTTTGTAGATAAGACAAAATCCTTATAATATTTGTGTTTTGATAGAAACATGAAGATTCGTTTAAAAGCTTTAATATGATTTTACATTAGGCGGAGACCACCTGTGCCGTCTAAAAATAGCAGAAACGGTAAAAGAGGCTGTTACTTTTGTCGAACGAAGTCACATTCGTGTTGGACTGGAAACTTAGCCACAAGGTACCTATTATTTTTTATATCATACATATATACGTATTTATATATATATATATTATATATATAGTTATTAATTTCTCAAGATAGAAATCTCGTTACTTAGGTGGATACTTCAAAGATAAAGCGCACGATCATGAAATATAATTATAAAATTTGCTTAAACTTCATTATCCTTCCATATTTATATTTTTTTACTAGCATAGATATTCACATTTTTTCCATTCTTAAACGTAGTTTGATGATTTTGATTTATTATAAATTTAAACGTAGATAGTAGTAGAATGTTAAGGGAATTTTTTGCTGTACATCAACAATGTCCTTGATTCCGCTTTGAGAAAATCTTTAAACTGAATGTTCTTATTATGTTCATTTGTTTATATGAAACTACAAATTTGTAAAATCTTGCGAGTTTTGAAAGATCATTAAGATACATAATTGAAATTTAAATCGTTAAGATGCAGTGGTGAAGATTGACCAAACAATTTTAAATTGACATTCTATTCTGAATCAATAATTTTTGCAAAACAGAATAATTAAAATCTATTATATTCATTTTTCTATCAAGGGTAGAACAAGTTGCTGTTATTATTAATTATATAATTTATTTTTATGTTGATAACAATTTTTATCAATTGACTTTTTTTTATTTCAACATTTTAATCCAGTTTACAGCAAATGAAATAGCACCAATGCCCTGTATTGTTCTTTGGATATATCATATTTAAGAAACGAATCACAATCAAAAATTTTGGTGATTACAATAGGTGGAGATTTTGGCACTTCAAAACATTAAATGGGAGTAAAAAATTTTATG